AGACTGAAATCTCAAGGTCCAAATCAGGAGCAGAAGGAGAGAGAGCACGAGCAAGGATCTCAGGACCGCGAGGGGTGCACCCACACACTGAGACAATGGGGATGTTCTATCGGGAACTCACCAAGGCCAGCTGGCCTGGGTCTGAAAAAGCCTGGGTTAAAACCGGTCTCACTGAATATAGTGGACAATGAGGACTACTGAGACCTCAAGAACAATGGCAATGGGTTTTTGATTCTACTGCACCTATTGGTTTTGTGGGAGCCTAGGCAGTTTGGATGCTCACCTTACTAGATAGACCTGGATGGAGGTGGGTGGTCCTTGGACTTCCCACAGGGCAGGGAACCCTGAATGCTCTTTGGGCTGATGAGGGAGGGGGGCTTCTTTGGGGGAGGGGAAGGGAAGGGGGAGGCAGCGGTGGGGAAGAGACAGAAATCTTTAATTAATTAATTAATTAATTAATTAAAAGAACTACAAAGGAAAAAGGTCAAGTAACATAAAATGTAGACCTATCAGAATAACATCCCAGTTTTGACTCTGAAAGTCAAAAGGTCTTTGACAGACATTAAGAGACCATGGATGCCAGGCCAGACTACTATAACCTGCAAAACTTTCCATCACCATAGACACAAAACAAGATATTCCATGACAAAACTAGATTTAAACAATACCTATCCACAAATCCAGCACTACAGAAAGTACTAGAAAGGAAATTCCAACTTAAGAAAGTTAGCTGAACTCACAAAAACACAGACAATAGATACTCCCCTATCAACAAATCCCAAAGAAGAGAAACACACACACTATCAACAACAAGAACAAAACCAAAAAAAAAAAAAACAGGAATTAACAGATCATTAATATTTCTTAATATCAATGGACTCAATTTGCCTTTAAAAAGACATAGTCTAACAGAGTGTTTATGATATCAAAAGCCAACCTTCTGCTACATATAAGAAACATACCTCAACTTCAAAGATACATATAACCTCAGAATAAAGTGTTTGGAAAAGATGATCCAGTCAAATAGACAAAAAAAGCAAGCAGGTGTAGCTATCCTAATATATAACGAAACAGATTTCAAATTAAATTAATCAAAAGAGATGAAGAAGGACATTTCTTTCTTTTTTCTCCAGAAAAAGAGTTTATTTTGGTTTTAGTTACAAAGCAAGAGTCCATGATGGTAGAGACAGCACAGTAGCCGATAGCAAGCAGGCATGGGAGCAAACCAGCAAGCTGGGAGCTCACATATTAATCCACAAACATTAGGCAGAGAAAGCTAATTTGGAATAGTTGAGTTGTTGAAACCTCAGAGCCTGCCTCCAATGACACACTTCTTTCAGAAAGTTCATACTTCATAAACCACTCAGACAGCACCATCAACTGGAGACCAATTATTCAAACATCTAAACCTATGGGGGAAGCTTCTCATTCAAAACAATACATTGATGAAACTATTCACCTTTCACTGAGAGGCAGAGGTACTTTGGACTCCTAGGGCTATACTGATCTCGATTTGAAACTTCTCACTTATTTGTGTGTGGAGATATACCATCACAAGTGTGCAGGCATATGCATGGAGAAGCCAGAGGATTAAGGTTGGGTGTCTTTATCAAGGTTTTTTCCTCTTCCTTACTTTTGGAAACTAAAGTATTCCACTGAATCTGGACAACAAAGATTTGACTGGACTCCTAGGTAGTAACTCCCAAAGATACCTCTGTGTCCACTTCTCCAGTCCTGGCTTTTTATGTGGGTTGCTGGGGAACTAAACTCAGGTGCTAAGACTGACTAGTTCTTCCTGCTTACACAGCAAGCACTTACTGCTTGGGCCATCCCCCACTCCTTTAAATGTTTCGTTTCTTTTAAGCATCAATTTCTTCTTCTGTCACATAGGGAAACCTCTAGAATACATTCTTTAGAGAAGTTCTATAGACCAAATGAAACCATATAATAAAATATCTGCCTAATACCTAGAAAGTTTTCAATAACAGAGCACCTCATTCATTTCCCATACATCCGGACCTACCACATTGCAAGTTAGAAAATTTTATAAAGGATAACTAGCCTCTGAAGTTCTTAGGACCAGAAGTGTTTCAAATTGAAGAAGGACATTTCATATTTTTCCACAGGAAAAATTCATCAAGATGAATTCTCAATCCTAAACATTTATGCCCCCAAATTCAAGAGCACCCACATATGTAAAAATAAACACTACGAAAACTTAAATCACACATAGAGCAACACACTAATAGTGGGAGACTTCAACACCCCGCTCTCACTAGTTGACAGGTTCACCAGACAGAATATTAACAGAAATATAAAGGAACTAACAGAAGTTATGACTCAACTGGGCTTAACCAAGATCTATTGAACATTCCACCCAAACAGAAAAGGATATACCTTCTTCTCAACACTTCATGGAACCTTCCCTAAAATTGACCACATACTCAGTCACAAAGTAAATCTCAACAGATTAAAGCAAACTGGAATAAGCACCTGTATGTTAGCAAATCATCATGACTTAAAGTCAGAATTCAACAGCAACACAAAACACAGAAACCCTACAATCTCATGGAAACTGAGTACATCTCAACTGAATCACCACTGGGACAAGGAAGAAATTAAGAAAGAAATTAAAGACTTCCTAGAATTCAATGAAAATGAATACATAACACACACAAACTTTTGGGTCACCATGAAAGCAGTGCTAAGAGGAAAGCTGGAGATGTTCTTTAGAAAGTTCCGAGAGAGTGACAGCAAGTTCCCGGACAAGGAGCATGGCATCTCCAGCCTCTGGCTCCTACACATGAAAGGCTGTTCTCCAATCTCCTACAGCTTGCTGAAACTAGTGGCTTCATCACAAGTCACAAACAATCTGAACACAGAGGCTGGAGAGGTGGCTCAGTGGAAAGAGCACTGGCTGCTCTTCCAGACGACCTGCGTTCAATACCCAGCACCCACGCGGCAGCTCATAATTGTCTGTTCCTCCAGTTCTAGGGGATCTGACATCCTCAGACAGGCACATATAAGCAAAGCACCAACACACATAAAATATAAAATAATAAGTTAAAGAGCCGGGCGGTGGTGGCGCACGCCTTTAATCCCAGCACTCGGGAGGCAGAGGCAGGCAGATCTCTGTGAGTTTGAGGTCAGCCTGGACTACAAGAGCTAGTTCCAGGACAGGAACCAAAAAAG